TTCATTTAAGCCTAGTTCGATCCGCGCAGGTTTTATAGGCTTTGCACAGTGGTTCAATCTGTTAGGACCTTATTATTATTAAGGATGGGTCCAATTTGGGTCTCTGAAACGGTTTTGGACTATAACCTATATATGGGCTGAAAGTGCTCGGAGAGACCTTTCATTTAAGCTTAGTTTGATCCGCGCAGGTTTTATAGGCTTTGCACAGTGGTTCAATCTGTTAGGACCTTATTATTATTAAGGATGGGTCCAATTTGGGTCTCTGAAACGGTTTTGGACTATAACCTATATATGGGCTGAAAGTGCTCGGAGAGACCTTTCATTTAAGCCTAGTTTGATCCGCGCAGGTTTTATAGGCTTTGCACAGTGGTTCAATCTGTTAGGACCTTATTATTATTAAGGATGGGTCCAATTTGGGTCTCTGAAACGGTTTTGGACTATAACCTATATATGGGCTGAAAGTGCTCGGAGAGACCTTTCATTTAAGCTTAGTTTGATCCGCGCAGGTTTTATAGGCTTTGCACAGTGGTTCAATCTGTTAGGACCTTATTATTATTAAGGATGGGTCCAATTTGGGTCTCTGAAACGGTTTTGGACTATAACCTATATATGGGCTGAAAGTGCTCGGAGAGACCTTTCATTTAAGCCTAGTTTGATCCGCGCAGGTTTTATAGGCTTTGCACAGTGATCCATTCCGTTTTTTTACATCATAATAAAGATATGACCCAATTTGGGTGTCTGATACGGTTTGTTCTATAGTTGGTGCTGCATAGTATTTATTTAACTTGTATTCAAGCTATTTTATTACCGAAGTAATAAATTTTAATATAATAATTAACAAATAATTATATTTTTCAAAATTTTCTTTTTTACTCAGTCTTTAACAAAGCTCTGTTAAGTCCTTAACAGAGCTCTGTTAAGTAACTGTGTCTGTTAACATCCAATTTAACTTTCCAATTTATCTTCACACCCATCAAAAATAACAAATGTCGTCATATATTCAATGTTGTTGTTTTTGTATTCTTCTCAAAAGCTGACAAATTTCATTTGTGTTCTATTTTTAAATTAGTATTTGTCTTCGTTTGATGTTGCCAGTATCTCTTTTGGACATTATTTTTATTTATTCAAAATTTCATTTAATTTAATTTGGTTTCTGGTATTCGACTGATTCTCACATATGTGTCTTGTGTCAGCGATAATGTGTTTCTGTGATGTTTATGATTATTGTGGCACCACTCCTTTGAAATGTCATTTTATTTCTTCTCTTACCGGTTGTGTAACCCCCCTCCCTTGATAGCCAGCCATCCATCCGCCAACCAGTAAGTGTGTGTGTGTGTCGTGTTTATGTTTTTTGGAGCATTGGCGAAACCGTAACTAACGTGATATGATCACCTTTCAGTTTGGTGGTCATTGCACTGTGGCCAGAAATCTTTTTTTTTTTTTAATGTAAACATGAACCATGACCGGAAATAACAACGACTAAATAAAAAGCTTTAATTAATCTAAGAAAATTGAAGTTAAAAAACCTAAAGGGTTTCAAATTTGAAAATTCGAATTGTGTAACTTACCTAGTTAATGTAAGAACTGGATATACCACTACCTAATAAAAGAATTGCAAAGTCGGCCAGTCGACAGATTGCAAAGCGATTGATTTACATCCATATCTTGAAGTTTTGACAACAAAAACTGATTGTTCATGATTCCGCATCGATTTCCATTAACGGTAACTTCCTCATTTTTATAGAAAAAAGGATCGATGCTTCCCAGCCCATAGACCGCACCAAACAGTACATTTGTCGGGAATGCATTTGAAATTCTAGAAAAAATATGTTTCCACAATTTGGAAGCGTTGTCCTGGAGTTAACCTATTCATGAGAATTTGCCAAAAAATATTGAATAGAGATGTCACTTAAAACTGTGAAAACAATTTTCAGACAACAGAGTGGTTCCTATTACAAACAAGTAAAAAAGCTGCAAGTTCGGCCGGGCCGAACTTTGAATACCCTCCACCAATTGGAATGAATTTGGCAATTCCCAAAAACAAAATCCGTTAAAAATTCTGTTATAATCTTAAAAATACCGAATGTAGCTGTTAAATTAGTATCTATACGACGACATGGACCTGCATAGGTAACATTTGTTATAAGCCATCACAATATTCAAGTGCGAATTTAAAAAAAAAAAAAATGGAAATAAAATCATGAAAATACCGAATATCGGGAGTTACCGCTATATGGGGTCTATATGAAGACGTGGACCTGCACAGACAATCTCCTGTCATTGGCTGTAGCATCCATTACGAACATCAAATACTAAATTTGAAACAATTCCTGTGAATAATGTCGCTAAAATGATCAAAATGCAGAATATCGAGAGGTACCGTTATATGAGCGCTATACGGAGACGTGGACCTGCACAGACAATTTTCTGTCTTTGGCTGTAGAATCCATTACGAACTTCAAATACCAAATGTGAAACAATTCCGGTGAATAATGTCGCTAAAATCATCAAAATACCGAATATCGGGAGGTACCGTTATATGGGGGCCATACCAAAACATGGACCTACATGGCCCATTTTCAATACCAAAAGTCCTGCAGACATAACATATATTTCAGTAATATTTTATCAATCTTATTCGCTAAATGTACATGGAATTTTATGCTGATCAAGAATAAATATACTTTGTGGGGTCTTAAATGTGTATTTCGAGGTGTTACAAACGGAATGACAAACTTAATATACCCTCCATATTATGGTGGAGGGTATAAAAATAATAAACATCCGGTACTACCTTATCTGACACATAATAGTCTATACATTTGGAGTTTGTAATGGGTACGATCTCCTTCGACAGAAAATTGTCTATACAGGTCCACGTTTTCTTATAGCATTCCCCAGCTATAAAGAGCTAAAGAGTTGCTTCGCTTGGCCGAAAATGGTGAACTGCCGAATTTGGTTTTCTCCGATGAGAAAACATTCGTTGTCCAGCCGTTTGTAAAGAAACAAAATGATCGTGTTTACTTGCCAAAGAGTTCAACTGAGTCCACCTTCGGTTAGCCACATGAACTCAAGCGCTGGAGATGGTGATGGCGTGGGCCGCCATAACAGCCGATGGTCGCTCTCCGCTCGTATTAATCGACTGTGGCATCAGTATAAATGCTGAATATTTCGCGAAAATATTCTGGAGGGTGTATTAAAGCCTTGGGCACGAAAACATTTTGGCCGCAGACCTTGGACATTCCAACAGGACCCAGAACCATCGCACTCAGCACGCGCCACCCAAGAATGGTTACAAAATGAGGTTCCTCGCTTCATTTCCAGCGCACAATGGCCACCAAAATCTCCTGATACCAATCCATTGGACTATTGTGTCTGGAGAATTTTGGAAAGGTTGGAAAAGATTGGCACTAAAAAATACGAAAGTGTCGATCACCTCAAGCAAACGCTTCGCCGGGACCAAAATACCGCAGAGCAACATTCGAGCAACGTGTGACAGTTTCATTGGTCGTTTGAAGGCCATAATTCGTGTCAAAGTTGACCAATTCCAACAAATCTATACTTATTTTAAAATTTGATGCTATTTCCGCCATTTGTTGCTTTCATTGAATAAAATTAAAAACATGTAAAAAAAAGGTGTAAGATGGCGTTTGACTTTGTTGTAGTTTTTTTAATATCACGCTGTATATCCGATATCTGATTATATATGTACATTAAATTGGGATCAATGTAAAGTCAGGTATACTTTAGCATTACAAATATTCACGATTGAAGATATGTTTTTGGTAGTCTCTCGAGCAAAGCGTACTCGCTCTTATGCAAGTGGCATAGAATATTAGAGTATATTTGATTTATTTTCACATTATTTATTTATATATTGTATATACAGGGTTGCCCATATTCGACGGACCCATGTTTTGTTATGCGACTTGTGTGCGGTGGAGCGCCGTCTTGTTGAAACCAGAACTGCCTCATACGCTTTCGACGAATAATTGTCATCACAAAATTGGTCATCATGTCGCGATAACGCTCCTGATTGATGGTAACAGCATGGGCATTTTTATTTTGGAAGAAAAACGGTCCAATGACCGTTTTCGCACTAACGCCGCACCAAACTGCGAATTTTTCGTCATGAAGAGGCACTTCTTGAATCTCCTGAGAATTTTCAGTGGCGTAAAAACGGCAAGTTTGCTTATTTACGGTCCCATTCTATGTGAAATGGGCTTCATCGGATTTGATAATTTTTCGTATAAACGCTTAATGGTGTTCTAAGAAGGCGCACTTGTCACATTTTTTAATGTTGTAAAAGCACGTTGAGTTTTCACAATTGACTTCTTTTGTTGAATGTAAATTTCAACTATTTCAGAGCGCTTGGGTGGCGTGTTGCCAGATGGGTCCGTCGAATATGGGCAACCCTGTATTCTCTATTAGGTGTGCTGGATCGTATTATAATAGAAAAGATTTCAATACACTTCATTTTAAATATCCACTAAATTATGTTCAAACAAACCAAACCAAATATACCAGTCCTTTGGTTCTCACAAAATCAATTCGATAATACAAAAAAAGAGAGAGAGAGAGAAATCCATAAATTAATTAAAATTTATTAATTCACTTTAATTAGGAAATCATTCTTTGAACAGTACTTCAATTGCGTCAATGCCAAACCTTACAACAATCGCTTAAGTTGTATGGGTCAGCACAAATTCATTTCATTCATACATTGAATTGCAACAAAATTCTAGAAAGAATGGGAAAAAAGAACTGAAACAGCAAACTTTGGTCAACTTGTCATTGGACGACGTTACGTGTATGGCCCGCCGCACATACGTATGTTCTGGCGAACAAAAAGTTTTTTTTTCAAAACTAGTGAAACAATGTCACTAACACTCCAATAGACAATAAACTGTAACGTGAACAATAAGCAGCTATACCACAAACGCTATGACTGTAACATGTCTTCTTACATTGGTTTTGTCTTTTCGTTTTGTTTTTTGCAGATGTCAACAGGAAGGCCCATCAAATGTGTAGTCGTTGGCGATGGCACGGTCGGCAAGACATGCATGTTAATATCATATACCACAGATAGTTTTCCCGGTGAATATGTGCCTACAGTGTAAGTTGTATTGTATTTGCAATTCTTCTTTTTTATTTCAGAATTTTTGAAATAAAAAAATAATGTTTCCTTTTTTCGACTTTATTCTAGTTTCGACAACTATTCAGCACCAATGCAGGTAGACACAATACAGGTATCATTGGGTCTATGGGATACAGCTGGACAAGAGGATTATGATAGACTCCGACCACTCTCATATCCACAAACGGATGTTTTTCTGATATGTTTTTCAGTTGCGAGTCCATCATCATTTGAAAATGTCACCTCCAAATGGTATCCCGAAATAAAACACCACTGCCCAGATGCGCCCATAATATTAGTAGGTATGTATAAAATGAGTAGTAGCTCAAAATTGTCAAAGTCTATAGAATTGCTTTGCACGGAAAATTAAAGATCGCACAGTATTGGTTTGGTTTAAGGATGCTCAGCTACAATCCAAGAGCCTTGGTCAATTATGTTCATCCTTGGTTAGGATAGAGGAAAGATATAGATGGGTTTGTAAAGATATGTTTTAGTAGGTTGGTTTACTGAACCAGTATATTCTTTTAACAAATCTATAGGCGATAATGAGATATACGTCAAAGAAAAATGTTAGGGTTTCTCGTCCTTTGGTCCATTATACTCATCCATGGTTTGGATAGAGAAATGGCATATTTGGTTTTGTAGATAGATACTTTGGTAGATTGAACTGCTAAACCAGAAGATGCTTTAGCATACCTATAGATTATGATGAGATCTATGTCAGAGAAGAATGTTCCCCTAACTACCATATAGACTTTGTCTCCTGTTTGATAGCATGCCCCATCTATATTGTTAATGATCAATGGTCTGCAACTACTTTTTCATGCTAACATAGTCTGCAGTAATCAGGTCATAGATATATTAAGTTCAGACATCTGATAGGGTAGTATCCCGGCAATATGCCTGTCGTGATTCTTAGATTTGACGTACTAATTTGGAGCAGCTTCTTCTTCTCAAAATAGACGGCTACATGGGCTTAGATACGTTGCACCAGGATTTCATGTTAATTCTCCTGCAGGCTTCTTTGTTGAGAGGTTTTTTTAAACAGAAGATCATCAATCGAGCTGAGTATAAATCCATAAATCAATGGAATTGGAACCAGCCCTACCTTGTTCATTAGCCGTCTCAATCTTTGTTATATTGCTATGGCCTGGGACCCAACTTATAAATTACACGTGTAGAGTCTGGCAAAATTTTTTTTCGAAAATCGAGTGAAGCTTATGCTGTGTGGCACGCAACGCCGCCCTGTTGAAACGAGATGTTGCCAATATCACCCTCTTCAATGTTTGTGAACAAAAATTCGTTCAGCATGGCTCGATAACGTAGCGGATACTTCCTGCTCATTTTCTAAGAATAATGACCCATTTATGCCTTCGGGACAGAAATCCGCACCAAACAGTGACTCGTTTAGAGGCATCAGCTATTAATGCAATATTATTCAAGCTTATACAAAACCAAAGAAGATAAAAATAATTATATTTCAAATCAGACATGAGCTATCATCTTTACCTAAGATATTTCGACTTATTGGCATGTCCAGAGTTCGTACATGACCAAAAAATACGGAAAGTGTACTAATTAACATACTTCTCACATCCTTCTAGGTACCAAAATTGATTTACGTGAGGATCGTGAGACTCTTAGTGCATTGGCAGAACAAGGTTTGGCGCCACTAAAACGGGAACAAGGACAAAAATTAGCAAATAAAATAAGAGCTGTTAAATATATGGAATGTTCAGCCCTAACACAAAGAGGCCTAAAACAGGTATGCAAAATGTAATTTCACCTTAAGACACTGAAAAATTAAAATTAATTCCTTCAAATCCTTAACGTTTACACAGGTATTCGAAGAGGCTGTGCGTGCCGTACTAAGACCTGAGCCACAAAAACGACGTCAACGAAAATGTATAGTTATGTAAATATCGAACACGTCATGGTTTATATTTATACAATTTCCTGCAACTCCTGTTCCCAAAAACAAACAAAAAAACTACAATGTCCTGTTTCCAATTCCTCAAAATATATTTTTTATTATGTCGTCATAGTCGAGATCGCGCCATTATCATCAACTTTATCCGGGTTATACGTATATCGTCTCTGTCTCTCAGTCTATCCTACAACTATCTCTATCTATATAAATAATTCTTTTTTATATTTTTTGTATGTATATTTAACAAATGATGAAAAACAATATTATTTTCTATTTAAGAACAAGAAACAAGTGAAACAAATCGAATTAAAGCATAATATTTGAGAACCTAATATTAACAAAACAAAAAAATTGTCCAAATGTCCTTTTAAAAGAAAATTGTCTACATTTATTGTAATTCTAAGAGATAACACAACAAACACAAACAAATTAAATCGAATCAAACCACTAGTTTTTATACCTTTTAAACTATAACAACTAAAAAAAAACAAAGAAACCCTAAGCAGCTAAAACTAGAACTAACTCCTCAAAACACTCTTCCTTCCAAGAAAAGAAAACCTAACTCGAAATATAATTATTGCTAATAAGTTTTTAATTTTTAAATTATAATTTTGTTGATTTTTTCCATCAAAGAAAGTCGTCCTTTGCGCCATTCATAACAGATATAAATCATTGTCATTGCCTAGATTTGATATTTCTCGAGTCATTTTATTTTCCAAAAAACAAGAAATTTATAAAAAAAAATTTGTTTTTTAGTTTGTATTCATTTTAAACATTCTCGAATTTAGTTGAGATTATTATTTTTTAATCTATGTTCTGTGTAATTATTTAGTTGTTGATATAGAACCAAAATATATCTAAATATTATTATTTATAAAAAAGAGTTCCAAAATCATTTCATTTATTATTCCTAACACCAATTTGTGCAGAGCTAATAGTATACATTTGTTTTATTGGAAAATATATGTGTATTTGAGTCTTTAGTCATCCCCCGAAGCTAGTTTCATACCCAATAAAAATGTGGTTTTTTGTAATTGCTGAACATTTTTTTCTTAGCAATTAATGGTTCCGAAGAATTTCAAACAAAGAAGCTTTATGGGTGGATTTCGTGCAATATATAGATCATTAAACGGGAAAGTTCAAAATATTTCTTGCACAGAATTGTATAAACAAAAATTGCCATTATCATACACGTAAACCAGCTTCTCCAACACTTCTAGTGGTGATAAGACCTCAGAGTACTTCTGTGATCGTATTTTATTTTATGGTATTGTTTTTCAGGTCCTTTTGCTATCTAATAGAAGATTTGGCGTTGGGTTTTATAGTGGGTAAAAAACTTTGATATCAGGGTTGGATGGTTAAGGTTGGACCCACTTCCAATTCGTTACTTTTGTAACATTTTGTTTTGACATTTTACACACAGAAATAAATTCAACTGGGAAGCTTTTTTAAATTAAGGATCAGTTTTCTTCAAAGAATACTGAAAAAAACCTTAGTCTGCTCAACCAATCTGTGTTATTTCGAAAACGGCCGCTTTATAGGCCGATGGCCTCACATCGATGGTTGTTATTTAAAATCCGTGCCGAAAGTCGAAAGTGTAAAGGGATTTAGATCCACGTGGATCGGGAAGTCTCCGAGTGTAGTATTTGCAATATAACTTTATAACATGTTCTAAAACTAAGATCCCTGATGACGGAGATTTAAGCATTGAGCAAATAAGTGTGTAACTTTTTGGAGGATACAAACACTATAGAGCTCATTGTCTCCTTTCCTTATTGTAATCCCTTAATATTGATATATAATTTTGCTGTTAACAAATTGGCTTATGTAACAGATTTCAGGTTGTTTTGGAATGTCCATTTATATGGAAATACCCTAGTTAAAAAGCTTGGGATAGCCACATTTAATTAGACATTGACCGAAACCAGCAGAGGTTTCTTGCGGTCTCTAAGAATGGCTTATAGTCTTGTTATCGTCTCCATTAGTAAACCCTTATACAATTAAGGTGTGGTATTATTTTATTAAATCAATGTTTCTAACAGGCATTCGGTCTGATTCCAACTGGAAAACAAATATCAAGTTATAAATTAGGCCAAATGATCTAAGTAAACAGGTGCCAAATAATTTTTTAAAACAGGCTTGGAATAGTGCTAATGGTATCCTCAAAATATCGTCCAAAATACTTGAAATCATTTTTCGAGCACTACTAAATATTCGCCAGATATCTTTCGTGCGGCGCCATTTAGTATTAATAGCCCTTTAACATAACCGTAGAACAAGAGATGATTCCATCGTGAAATGAAGATTATAAGGGGATTGGTATATTTTTAAGCCTTTTATTTTTTCAATGACGGATGTATACAAAGTTCAGATCGGAGACGCCTTTTATTATTTGATTTTTTTTAATTGCAATCCAATGGAAATAGTTTTTTTCACCTTATTCGTTTTTCTTTTGTATTTTTGTTTTCCTAGGAATACAATTAATTTTTCTAATGAGTGAGAACATATTTTCTTCGTAAAAAGAAATGGAAAAATATTACCACCACATACCCCTCTCTTAAATAGTTAAACAACTCTATGATTAAAATAAAGCTTACTTTTAAAAGAAAATTTGTAATAATTTAATGAAAATAATAATAAGAATATTTTTTGTTTACTATATAAAATGCTTATCTAGTCAATTGAATATTTGTTTTATTTTTACAATAACAAAACGAATGAAAGAAGAATAAAACGCAAAAAGCAAACAAAAGAAATATAAATCAAATGCTATGTAATGTAAAAAACGCGAGAAATAAAAAATCCTCATTACATTAAAAGGAACAAAAAAATCCATTATATAATTACTAATTTTTCATACAAATATATGCGCGCATATCATTAAATATTTTCTTTTTATTATTGTCTATCATTTGCTGCCCTCCTCAATTCCAAACTAAATCCCTGTTAATCTATTTATTTGCATTATGTGCAAATAACTAAGAATTGAAATATACAGCTGAGCGTATATATTGAACAAACAAAAAAAGGAAACAAATATTAAGCACAAATTTATTTAACTTTAACACAAAACAAAGAAAAAATAAATGAAAGAAGAAAGTAAGGCAGGCAGCTTGCTAATATATATTTAAAACAAAACAAAACTTATCTATAATAATATTTTCTTTTTTATACAAATATGTATTTTTATTATTATAATTTTATTGTTATATTTTTTACTTTTATTTTAACAATATATTTACTGTCATCAATAAATGTATTAATGAAAAGTATCGTTTTTTTATATTATATTATAATAGTTACTATTAAAACAAATACATCTGCAAGAATTTTATAAAAAAAGAATGGGTTTTTTTGGTATTTATTATTTAACAAGATATTATAATTTTATAATTTTTACTTATACTTCTTGATAATTACCAATCATCTTGGGCAGATAATTACATATTTTCATTGAGTTCATGGGTTGTTAGCAAATTCGATTCGGATTGATAAAAACTGTCGAAAGGAAATCTGTATAAAAACTAGACTAACTAAAGATATATGGGAGCTATAACCAAATCTGAACCGATCTTTGTAACATTTGTAGAAGTATTTCTGGGCTGTATTTGATATCTGGTACCAAATATCGTAGTTGTGGAGTGCTTATTATGAATGAGAGGGGCTTAAAGACCAAATCAGGGAGCTAGCAATTAACTCTATTCGCAATTTAAATATTGCGAATTTTCCCTACATTCGGTTTGATACTCACACTCAACTTTCGGATTTGCATCACTGTGCACTTCGAACTTAGAAGTCAAAGACATTTATACTCGTTTGATATTTAAACCACTATTCATTTTAAGTAGAGCTCCCGTAACAAAAGAATTTATTAGAAGTAGATCATACCAACTATCATGATATGGATTTAGAGCAGTTATAGTTTGGTTTCAGAGAATCAATTCAGAATCGATTTTTACTAAATTTGAAGGAGACAGTTTAATCTTTTACACCAAATAACATTACTATAGAGCCGCGTTCGAAAATAAACAGTACACAAACATAGTATCACAAAAACAATTTAGCGGTGGTGTACCAGTACACTACCACTAAAAAATATTTTAGTGATACTGTACCAGAACACAACGATGATCGTAGTGTTCCGCAGTCGGAGCGCTAAAAAATCGTAGTGTACCGGAGTCGGAGTACTAAAAAACGTAGTGTTCCGCAATCGGATCATTAAAAAATCGTAGTGTACCACATGCACCACATTAAAAAAAAAATCGAAATCATAAAACTGATTTTAAACACTCAGCCATATTTTTTAAAATATTTAGTTTTTTACACCTACATCCATTGATTTTTCGGTACCACAAAATAACAGGTAAATTATTTACATAATAACTCATTACAACGCAAACACAAAAAACCCTTTTTCGCGGAAAATTAAAAATTTCAATTTTCCGACTGCGGAGCACTACGATTTTATAGTGTTCCGGCTGCACTACGTTTTTTAGTGCTCCGTCTGCTGTACAGTACGATTCTCGTTGTTCTCCGGTACATTATCACTAAAATATTTTTAAAGGTTGTGCTCCGGTACGGTACATTATCTCAGTGTACCACTCCACCTCGGAACGGTACAGAACACTACGCCACAGTACCATACTGTTTATTTTCGAACGCTGCTATAGAGTGCGTGATATCACTTCGAGAAGGCGAGTTCCACAAAATGGGGCTGATATTAGCCATTTTTCGCACAATAAAACCAAATCTGATCCAATCTTGATAAAATTTGACAGAGGTATTTTCGTGTAGTATCTGATGTTCGCTACCAAATATCGTTCTTGTGAGGGACTTACGCATGTGAGGGACTTAAAACCCCAAATCGGATGGAACATATGGCTATAGCTAAATCTGAACCAAATTTGACGTCTTTGGTTCTATAATTAATTCGATGGAATGTACCAAAATCCAGGTCATTAGGACTTATATTGGCCATTTGGTGCACAATTAACCCGAAATCAGTTGAATATATATGGGAGCTATATCTAAATCCGATCAGAATTAATATACAAATACCAGTGAGATCGGTTTAACAAAGCAGTTAAAGTTTTAAAATACAATAAAGTGGGTGGAACCGTTATGTTGGGCCATACCAAAGCGGAAACATTTTTCTACTACAAGGATGGTTATCCATTGCGAGTCTTAAGTACCAAATTCGAAACACCGTGAAAATTGTGGCCAGGATCATAAGTATTTTGAATATCGGCGGGTACCGTTATATGGAAATCTTGGACCAACATGGACAATGTTTAAAAACTGGTTGTTGAACCCATGGTACAATAAAAAGGTATGGTAGTGCTACTAGCTGATTAAAATTTTTTTCTAAGTGTACCCGACTTATGCCAATTTTTGTGTATGTATTTATCGTTTTGAATCATATATTGGAAGTCGCGTAAATTGCAAGACACGCTTTAAAGCTATTCACCAGAACTGTTAAGATCTTAACTGATTTTATAAACTTAACTGATTTATAACTGATTTTATAAATGAGGAAAAATATTGATAAATGGAAACAACTTGTTGCATGCAAATTTGACAGGAAACGGGCATAGACTCAGGGCTGAATGGTTTGTGGTTTTACGAAGCTGTTCTAACTCCTTATTGTACCATGCTTTTTGCAATATACGTTAGCATAGAACTTATATACTAATTAGCTGAAATAATTACACATTATTTTGATACCCAACACCACTCTTTGTGCATTTGTTTGTAACAGGCAAAAGGAAACGAGAAAGACCCATAGTTCCTTTTGATGATCTGCATAGAATCACATTCTAAGTCGATTTATGCATGTCCGTCCGTTCGTCTGTCCTTCCGTCCGTCTGTCCATGGTACAATGAAGAGAAGGTATGGCAAAAGGATTATTTCGCTACAAAAAGTCTAGATTTTGTCGATGCATACGTCGAAATAAACGTATTGAAAACACACGAATTTGAATCTTTTCTGAACAATTTTTTTATTGCAAAGAAAACACATACATAAACAAATAAATATGATATCCCAACATACCAAATAAAAATAAAACTACAACACAACTTGAGAATAATATTATTAAAAAGAAATTTTTAACAATACTTTAGAAATGCTTATTTGTACAAAGGTTTCGCAAGTGTGTCTGAAAATTTTTTGAACACACAACCACTTCGTAGTGAGTAGGCATTGCATTTGTAGATAAATTTATTTGGTGAAAACAATTTGTTTTGCATTTATTGATTAATTTCAATCTAAAAAAAGTTATTCGCTGTGTTTTGCAAAAATTAATTGGTAATATTTTAAAAATGCCTTATAAATATAAAAAAAGTGTTAGAAGAGAAGCAAAAGAGGTAGTTGAACTTCTTTTTAGTGATAATCAACACAAAAAAATTGTATCAAAAGAACGGTCGGAAACTAGTGAAATAAATAGCGACCCAGTTCCTGTGCAATGTGAAAATGAAAGTGAGAGTGAAAATGAAAGCGACGAAGCTCCAACTATGCCTCCAATTGAAAAACTTAATATTCAAGATGAGTTGGCTAAGTGGAGTGTGAAACATTTAATTTCGAACTCTGCAGTGAATGAACTTTTAACAATTATGAGGAGGATGATACCAAGCCTACCAAAAGATGCTAGATCATTAAAAAAAACCCCTAGAGATGCTCCAGTTATGTCAATTGCAGGAGGTGAATATGTGCACTATGGACTGGAGGATTGCTTGACCGATTTTTTTTTCAAACGCTAAATACGAAGGTGACACTATTGAATTAAATTTTAATATTGACGGTCTTCCAATTGCAAAAAGTTCATTGGCACAAGTTTGGCCTATATTGGTAAACGTAAACGGTACAAATCCTGTGTATACAATCGGCGTTTTTTCTGGAAACAGTAAGCCGAAAGACGTCAACGCGTTCCTAACACCATTCGTTGAAGAACTTAATGAAGTTATTAGTTCAAATTTCTCATTTAAAGGCAAAAGTTATAAAGTTAGCTGCCGGTCATTTATATGCGATTCACCAGCAAGATCCCTAGTTTTGGGTATAAAAAGCCATACAGGTTATAATTCCTGCCACAAGTGCACACAAACTGGGAAATACGTTCAGAAGCGCATGGTGTTCACACAAGAAAATAATGATTCTCGAACAGATGAAAATTTCAGAACACGTCACTGTGCAAATCATCATATAACAAACACCCAAATGGCAATAGAAAAGTTACCAATAGACATAGTTCAATCCTTTCCATTAGATTACATGCACGTAGTTTGTCTTGGAGTTGTAAAGTCATTAATGAAGTCTTGGATCCGGAAAAAAATTGTTCGTTTTCGCTATCTCCAGCACAAATCGAAGTGTTTGATGATCAGCTGCAGACGCTTAAAAGTCAAACTCCGAGGGAATTTTGTAGAGCACCACCAAGTTTAAAGGAATTTGAGCGATACAAGGCAACAGAATTTCGGCAATTCCTTCTATATACTGGACCTTTTATATTAAAAAATATATTGGATGAAAATCGTTATGCTCATTATATGCAACTAAGCTTGGCTTTGCGCATATTATTAGATGAAAGCAAATGTAAAACATACAATGAGTGCGCACAAGCGTTGCTAACCAATTTTGTAATGAATGTCCCAGTGAATTATAATGAAGCTACAGTAACATACAACTTCCACTGTCTTACACATCTAGCAAGTGATGCTTTATTATATGGATCGCTAGAAAATATAAGCGCCTTTAAGTTTGAAAACAAATTAGGAAAATTAAAACGACTTCTTAAAAAGAAAAACCACGTATCCGTGCAGTTATATAATTGATTGGTTGAACAAAGTATAAACAGTTCACTTTCTGAAGAACATGTAAAAGTGGAAAGAAGTTCAAATACTTTTATTCAGAATGAAAACATATACTTGTCAATTTTTGCGCCTAACAACTATTATAGTGTTGGACAACATGTTTTCAAAGTTTCATCAATTGGAACAACAGGAACGCAGAAAGTGTTTCTATCCACTTAATTCCTCTCTCTTGAATATATGGGAGACAACGGATTTATCATTCTCAGAAACAATAGAGACACACTTTTTACATGAGATAGTTAAAATGGTTTCTTTCTCTCAAAACAGCAAAACTGTCTTTCTTCCGCTAATTCACAATGCCTGAAGACTTCACAAAACTATTCTTTAGTCAGAAAAATGTTAACATGGGAGCTCCGCCAATAAATGAAAATTACCATAAACTTATAACAAATTCTGAAGGTAAAAATAATATTTTTTAAACATTTCTCCATAAATATGATAAAATCTTATTTTAGTTTTAGATATAGCTAACCAAGTAATAAGTGCAATTCAGCGTATGTTCATAAGGCTAACAAGCGAAGTGCAAAGCTTGCGTAAGGAGTTGCAGGAGCTCAAACCAGAAAGAAAGAAAACAAAAACTTTAGTAATGCCTTCCGTTCCATTCAAGGATATTGAGTCGTTTCTGGAATTTGAAAAAGGTCTCCAAGAAATAAACGAAGCATTTATTTCTCTTGTAAGTTTCATTCTATAATTTGTTCAGGAAATGATTTAGTTGAAAAATACTAACTACAGTGGTTTCTATTTACCTGCATCAACATTAGCTGCGCATTGGCCTTTGCAGACCAAAAAACTTTTTTTATGCCATTTTTTTCTGAATCCCTTTATTTGAATTGTATTTAAGTGCCCAATCGATAGCTGCACATTGGACATTCCTGCCTCGTAAATTTGGAAATTTTTTTTAATTTGGTTACAAAAGTTGTATTTATCTGCACAAGAAAATTTTTTGCAAACTCAAAAAAGACACTAAAAAGTACCACTTCGTTTTTGTATTCGCAAAAACAATAACAACACAAGAAAAGAGCATGCATTAAAAACATATTCTCGCTTCCTCTCCCACACTAAAAGATGGTTATGCTGCTGCTGCTTTGTTGTGCACGAATAGAAAATTAAAGATAACTGCACTTTTTGTGCACGTAAGTAAAATTAAAGATACCTGCTTCATTGTGCAGATAAATGCAATGAAGCTACCTGCATTTTGGGCATTGCTGCACAAGATGTCGTGCAATTTTTGATTGTGCAGGTAAGCAAAAAATACTGTAAAACAAAAATAATAATATCACTATGCTTTCCCTAATTTCAGGAAAGCGAACTGAAACTTGTTGCCAAGGCACCAAATTTCGTAAAGAATTGCTGGAAAAAAATAATAACAGATGAATTGGGAGAACGACTCTGCTGGAAAGGGACGGAGACAAAGAGAAGTGTTCGCAATTTTAGTACAACAAAAGCAATACGAAGTATTTCTATTTAACAATAGTATCTGAAAAAAAAAACGCTTAATTTCTATATTTCATAGATGCAACTTTATCATTGGGCTACACGGAGGACACATTCATTAAGGACATGCGCAATTTCTTTCAATTCGCTAAAAATCGCATAAAGCTGCGAAACGATTACAAAAACAAAAAAAAAAAATAAAATGTAAATTAAAAAAAAACATAATAATATAATAACTTTCACTAATATTAGTTGAACTAATTATCTTAATGTAAAACACAACTGAATTAATAAAAATGGAGTAAATAGTTTTGAAAAATATGTCCGAATTTAAAAAATACAAATGCTTCGGCATATTTAGTCCTTTGAACTTTAAATTAAAATTATAATCATAGCGTGTATGATTGAATTATCCCATAAAAACTTTTAATTGTTATGTGGAGCTCTACTAAATTAGCAAAGTGGTGTAGGGTATCATAAAGTCGGCCCCGCTCGATGGAAGTCACGAAAAAGTGTCTGGGCACGCGACCCCTCCTTTATCTTATATCTATATATATAAAAGAAAGTTGTGTATATATATATATATATATATATATATATATATATATATATATAAAAATCAATTGTTGTTTGTTGGTAACGGAATCAGTTGAAAACGGCTGGACCGATTTGCATAATTTTTTGTACAAACGTTCGTCATACCCCGAGTTAGGTTTTTAAAGAAAAAAATATTGACCACGCCTACTTTTACGCCCACTATTTCGATTTATCTAAAATCCCTATATTTACCAAATTAATGAAGATACCGGTTTGAGAATTATTACACGAGATACTGTTGGCTTTCCATCCAACCGTAAGTATTTATTAAGGGGCTGAGAAACGCGCCTACTTTTAAATCTTTCTCTCTATTTGTAAAAGAAAGTTATGTTAGTTACTACGCTTATAACATAAATATCGCCGGTATGATTTTAACGATTCAGACAAATTCGGAATTGCCTCTTGGCAGAAAAGCATAAAATCCAAAAAAATCGCGTAAAAATGTGAAATTTTGAACATTTTCAGTTTGACTTTTAAAATGTACAATAGTAATGTTTTATTTTGCATAATTTTTTTCCATTTTGACTTACTATTTTCGAATGTACATTTGTAGTGTTTTTTTTTTTTTTTGAATTTTTTTTTTCTTGAAAATATGATGTGTAGTTTTTTTGGGTAGTATAAAGCGACAACGGATAAAATTGTTATTTATAGATTTTATGTATTTATTGGGTAATACGAATAATATCATTTCAGAAGAGAATAAGATATGAAAATTCTAAAATCGGGAAAAATCGAAAATTTTTCAATGGAATCGAATTTCAAAATAATTGTACATTCTACAGTCACACTTCATAAGGACCTTAAAAAATTTGCCAAAAAAAAAATAAGCAAACCAGTTGAAGATTATTTGTCCTTTTTCAATCCTTTCTTTTTTCTATATTGAAGTGTACATTTCTTATTGTTTTCAATTCTGAATGAATAATATTAAAAATGAAATGAGTGTGTAATACGATGTTAAATGGCGATCTTTCATGTATAAAATTGGCACCTAGCTTTCAACTCCAGGACCTTCAGCTGGAAGATGCGAACACATTTATACAAACAAAAATGACCGAAAAAGCGTTATAGGTTCACTTCTAAAAGTTGACCTGTTTCTTTCATATGACAATAATTCGTCCAATGAGAACTCAAAATGCAAAATACATTGGGACTGCAATCCGTGAAATAACGGACGCAAAATAGTAGAGCGAATTCCTTCCCGAAATTTTTTCCAAACATTCAAAATACCTTTAATCGCTTTGGCAGGTCATGATATGGGTCATAACCCCCGATAACGGAACAACCCGATTTCAAGTATATTCTACACTTTAACCATATTTTTCATACTAATTTGCCTTATGTTGATAATTTAAAAAAAAAAAAAAAACATCCTTGCAAGAAATTATCACGTTTTAGTATCACCATCATATGATTTAATGTATTTTCGGGGTCTTGGCCACTTTTTCCATTTTTTTGGCCCTTATTTGACATCTTTGTTTCTAAGGGGAAAGAAAACCTCTTCTCATAAAATTTTTATTTTTCGGAAAAGGGCCCATCTTAGTCTTGAGGCCACATTGGGTAAAAAACCCTGAGGTAGAAAACCATCTAACAGATAATTATCCACATAGGCATTTATTTAAGTATAGTCCCCACATTAGTATATCCCCAAGTCCACTTTCCCAACCAATGTGTGGTCAGAAAAGAAAATTTGGTATTCTATTGAATTTGTAACCCCCAAGAGAATATTGGTTGGGAACATAGATTTGGGATGTACGTCTTTATGAAATAAACTTCGAAATGTCAATCTGGGACTTATTCAGTCGGAAATTGTGGCAGAAACATGAAAAAATACGAAATTAGAAAGTAACACGGGACCGAATATTTCTTTAATCTTCATTGAATTACAATACGATGAAAAATGTGGACTTTATTGGATCTCCATCGCACAATTTAAATGACAAAAAATTTATGCCCAAAAGAATATTTTTTGGCTATTCTGACAACATTCTGCCTTCAAGTATGAGGTGAACAAAACTTAATACCAAGCAGTATGGAATTTTGAACGTTGGAATTACAAATTCGAAATTATAGATCATTTGAATGAAAATGTTAAGCTTTTTACAACAATAAAAATTGAGCTGAATTTTCACATTGGGCTATTATAGATTTTCTTTATCATAAAGGTATTTAACACAAAAATTAATTTCTATTTAGTCATGGAGTCATTACTTATAATGAAAATTGTGCCGCTTACATAAGTCAGATCGGTGATTTATTATGCCTTAAAAAATGCGCATTAAAGACTAAAAGTACGGGCCGGCAACGCGGACCGGGTCAGCTAGTATATATATATATACAGGTCGCAATTATCGTCTGATCCTCACGAAAATGCATTGGGGTAGGGTTATAGTCAGAGTTAAAGCCTATTGTTATGGAGATGTACACTTAGGAGTTTAAATGGACAAAGAAAGTAAAATCGCTTTAAAGTCGCTTTACAGGTCACAATTGAAAACCAATCGGTCAGGGAAGAAGTCGAGCATTTTGTATGAAGATTGGCTTATATTTAGCTGTAAAATGGGGCACAAATTTTGCTGAATTTATTTCGAATGTATAACAATCCGCCATGATTGATAAATAAGGTAAATAAAGGTAACATCTGGGTAGGACTTAGGACATTATTCCCAAAACGAAATAGATGTGAAAATTAGGGACTTTCAACATATTGTGGTGTCGTAGGGTATCATAATGTCGGTCCCGCATGACTATAGCCTTTGCTTACTTCTTTTTAATAGTTTTGTTTAGAATATTTATAGCCCGTAAATAACTTTTGTTTAACAATCAAGTTTTTCTTTCAGTTCATTTACTTTTTTCGTCTGGGAGTAAAAGCTCATTTAACCTATAGCCCTACTGTCAAAAATTATGTTTTGAAAAAGAAAATTTGTTTATTTTCTTTAAATGATTGCGTCATTGGTTTTGAAGGTGCCGTGTCGGTGCCCGCTCTAATCCCCACGAATATAACCCGATTGCAATTATGGAGATTATGTCTGGTTTGTTCTTGGTCATAACCCCCATAATAATGTGGGGAATATGTCTGCTTTCAAAAAGGACACAATCCCCATGGGGAGTATGACTGTTTGTTGTGTGGACTAGCTGCAAAAATAATTAATTTTAGAAATAATTGATTTAGAAGACATACTCAAAGGAGAAAATCCCAAGCCCCGGCCAAAGGCCGTCTTCTTACAATAATTATGAAATTCAGGTGCAGAACATACCCAGAGAAAAAATTTCAATATTTTCGCACACCCAATTTGGATATACCCAATATTATAGGGATTATGTCCGCAACTTTCTGGGGATTATGACTGAACCCCCATAATGGAATGGGGATTTTGTCCAAAAAAAATATGTCCGGAAACTAGCGGACATAACCCTCATAATAATGGGTATGTCTATAGACTTTCTCCTCTACCCTAGCATTATATATATTAATTTTTGTAAGTCAAATTCCCTACTTTATCCATATAACCGTGGGGATTATGACCGTGGGCATTATGACCGTGCGCCGGTTTTTGATTTTCTATTTTAATTAAAAGTGTAAAAGGGGGTGGCCACAAACCTCGAAATATTGGTTCTAGTCCCACGATTTTATATATGTATCTACCTATCTCGCCGAGTTTGGTCGATTTAGCTATGTGTGTCCGTCTCTCCATTTTTATTTGTAACCACGCCACTGGTCGCAATTATAACGCAAACCTCACGAAATTTATCGCTGATTCAGGGTCAGGGTCAGAATAAAACCTTTAGGACTAGAAATGGACCAACAAGAGATTTTTCTGATTTTATAGTCTCTCAGGTCATTATTATACCAAATGGCGCCTTATTTTGCGTGAAACCAAAAGTTGCCTATACATAAACACCATTGCAATTATGGGGATTATGCCCGGTTTGTTTTTGGTCATAATCCCCATAATAATGTGGGCATAGTGTTCGCTTCCAAAGCAGACACAATCCCCATGGGGAGTATGACCGTTGAAATAATTAATTTAGTAGACATACTCAAAGGAGATAATCTCAAGCCACGGCCAAAGTCCGGCTACTTATAAAAATTATGAAATTTACGTGCAAGACATACCCAGAGGGCGAAATCTCAATTTTTTCGCATACCCAATCGTTTTGGACATACCTATTATTTTAGGGATTATGTCCAAAACTTTCTGGGGATTATGACCGAACCCCCATAATGGAATGGGGATTATGTCTAAGAAAAAAAAGATCGTAAACCCCAGAAGTAGCGAACATAACCCCCATAATAATGGGTATGTCCAAAAACGTTCTCCTTAGGGTATGTCCGGCAGCGGCTGACACGGACCCATGTTTACTTCATTTAAAATTTTTTGTAAGTAGTTCCCACAGCAAACGGTCATACCCCCACTTTATTATGGGGATTATGTCCGGGCACCGATTTTGGATTTTTGATTTTAAATAAAAGTGTAAATGGGGTGGCGCTAATATTAACCTAATCCGCCAAAGGCTAGGTGAAACCTCGAAATATTGGTTCTAGACCCACGATTTTACATATGTATCTACCTATATCGCTGAGCTGGGTCAATTTAGCTTTGTGTGTACGTCTGTCCATTCATATACTTAGTATTTTAGCCACATTTTACAATGGAATTGTCTGAAATTCCTCACAAGGAATTTTTTGTGAGTACTTTACCCTCTGAAGGAGAATTGGGTCCACGATATCGTACAGCCCCTATATAACAGTACCTCCCGATATTCGGTATTTTGATGGTTTTAGCCACATTTTTCAATAGAATTGTCTAATATTCTACACAAGGAGTTCTTTGAGAGTACTTTACCCCCTGAAATAGAATTGTCTATATAGAAACACAATATCGCAATATCGCGTATCCCTCATATATCGGTATCTTCCGATATTAGGTATTTTTAAAATTCTAACAGAATGGAAATGGATTTTATTTTTTTGAAAATTTCCTAATTCGTTCCAAATGGTGGAGGGTATTACTGTTTTTTACTTATTATTTGTAATCACACTACTAGTTAAAATCGTGACGCGAACCTCACGAAATTTTTCGTTTAGTCTGTTAGGTTAGGGTCAGAATAAAAACCTTTATGGCTTGAAATGGACCAACAAGAGATTTTTCTGATTTTATAGTGTCTCAGGTCATAATTATTTTATTTAAAAACATATACAATCACAAAATAATTTTGACATACTCTACCTAGCCCTGCCTAAAACAAGAATTATTAGACTAGAAAAATACTAAAGATTGCTATACGAAATATATATTCAGATTGAAAGATTTAATTTGTTCAAACTTAAAATTTTGCTAAAATAAATTGGAAATTGACATAAAAGACATTTAACTTACATGACATATTCTGCTTAACAAACAATAATATTTAGTTTTTACAGAATTTTTATTTAAATGCTCTTAGAATTTGATATTACACAGAAGTAAACATTAGCTTTTCATATATTCTTTCAATATAAAGTGAAGGTTTTCTCTTAGGGAACTTTGGTTATTCGATTTTCAAAATGGTGTTTGTGTGTGTGTTTTGTGGGTGTTTTACATTAGGTTACAACAATGATATCTGGAGATAGTTATAGAATAACTTTGTACATAGATTTCATGAAATTTTTTTGAATTCTATGACAAGTTGTCTTATGACCATTGTTTAAATTAATAAAATCAACAATTTTACAATGAATTACAGTTTAAACTTAACTTCATAGGACTAAGGGTGGAGAGCTACAACTAAAGAAAACATTTTTAAATTGGTTGAAAAAATCATGTTTTTAACCAAAGTCTTTGGAACAACATTTTTATTGCGATCTGAAATTATTATTAAATATTGGATACTATTCGAAACAAATCAATTCACGTAATTTTGTTCTAATTATTTTTTACTGAACTTAAAGACAATCTTTGAAAATATGCTTGAAAATGCTGTTGTAAATTTCCACCCTTAAACTTCATCTTTAATATGCATTTTTTAAAAGATCTAGCCTCTTCAATATAAACGGAATGGTTTTGGATGTAAAACTTGTCCAGGTTTCTTCTTGGGCCCAGCACTTTTTGGTCGTTTTTGTTCATTGTTCAGCGATGGCATCGATACAGACAAAACCAGACATTCTGCTGGTAGAGACATAGATGCGGACAGAGTGGTGGATCTTTGCATTTTTGGCGCCTTCCAGTAATGCTAATGGAGGAGGAAAGAGAAATTGAAAATGTAAATTTTGTAACAATTATATAATAATTTAAATATCAAGAACAAAAGAAATAAAATAATTGAATAACTTACAATTCATCTGTTGTGTTTCGATATTGCTTGGTTGCAAAGTGCATTTTTCAATTATTACCAATCTGTTTGAGCTCCAAATGTTTAGCTGCAAAAGCCTTCAATGGGTGAGTTGTGGGTTGTTCTACCAAATTTACTTATGAGTTTCTTTTTTTATTCAGTGGGGTTTAAGAAAATTTGCAAATATTTATATATAATTTATATATAATTTGTGGATAATTTTATACTTTAATAAGAAACTGAAAAATTTTAATTATATTTAATAACGTAAAAATCATGAGGTAATTGGTTATTTTAATGTTGTGATCTATACTGTAAAGAACTTTAACGTATCTTTTTTGAGCTTGAGGTCAGTGGTTAATCTTCATACTATTATTTCCTATATTTTGCAAATGTATAATTTGCATCTTCATAAAAAACACCTGAGGAAAATTTGATCAACCTTCATTTCGTTCGAAAGCAAGATTTCCACAGACGGACAGAGAGACGGACGAACATCCCTAAATCGACATAGAATTTTATGCTGATAAAGAATATTTATGTTTTGTGGGGTGACAAATTTATAAAAAGAACTACAAAAACATATAAGTTCGGCCGGAAGGAACTTGCAATATTAAAAAAAGGTGAGATAAACAAACTGCAACAAAGTCAAACGCCATAATTTTTAAAATTTTTTAAATTTTATTGAATGAAACAAAAAATGTCGAAAATAACATCAAATTTTAGAATAATTTTAAATTTTTACGAATTGGTCACCTTTGGCACAAATTATGGGCTTCAAACGGCCAATGAAACCGTCACAAGCTGTCCGAATGTTGCTCTGCGATATTTCGGCCCTTTCCCGGCGAAGCGTGATCGACACTTTGGTATTTTTTAGTGCCAACCTTGCTTTCCAAAATACTCCAGAAAGAGTAGTGCAACGGATTGGTATCCGTACATTTTGGTTTCCATTGTGCGCTGAAAATGAAGCGAGGAACCTCATTTTGTAACCATTCTTGGATGGCGAGTGCTGAGTGCGATGGTGCTGAGTCCTGTTGGAATGTCCAAGGTTTGCGACCAAAATGTTTGCTTGCCCAAGACTTCAACACATTCCCAGAATATTTTTACCATAATATTCGGGATTCATTCTGATGCCACGGTCTATTAATACGAGAGGAGAGCGACCATCGGCTGTTATGGTAAGTAAACACGATAATTTTGTTTGTTTGCAAACTGCTAGACAACGAATGTTTTCTCATCGGAGAAAACCAAATTCGGCAGTTCACCACTTTCGGTCAAGCGAAGCAACTCTTTAGCTCTTTTGAGTCTATTTTCTTTGTGTTGCGGTGTAAGTTCTTGCACTCTTTGAATTTCAATGGCTTTACCAATAACTCATTTTTCAATATTTGCCGAATATTGCGACATGTTCATCCCACGAGCCATTTTTCAGCCAACTGCGACGCGGGTTTCGATCATGTCGCCTGTTTACATTTCGAACCTTTTCTGCTGATGTTGCATCGGGCTACGCTACGAGTATTACGGTAACGAGCGATGGTACGAGACACAAAATATGTATTCACATTTACATGCTGGAGTGCTCTAATGATAGCCACTTGTGGTTTTCCAGCCAAATGTAAAGCAATCACACTATCACGCTTGAATTCCATCACAAATAACTTTTTTTCTGGAAAATTCTCAGCAAAATGCTTTTGTACGCTGGTAAACAATATAATGAGCAGTCACTGTAATAATTTTAACAGCTGTCGGACGATTAGCTTAGAAATTACAGCAGTCTGAAGTTGGCCGCAGACCTTGTACATTCCCAAAGGACTCAGCACCATCGCACTCAGCACGCGCCACCCAAGAATGGTTACAAAATGAGGTTCCTCGCTTCATTTTCAGCGCACAATGGAAACCAAAATGTACGGATACCAATCCGTTGCACTACTCTTTCTGGAGTATTTTGGAAAGCAAGGTTGGCACTAAAAAATACCATAGTGTCGATCACCTTAAGCAAGCGCTTCGCCGGGAATGGGCCAAAATACCGCAGAACAACATTTGGGTAGCCTGTGACGGTTTCATTGGCCGTTTGAAGGCCATAATTCGTGCCAATGGTGACCAATTCCTAAGATTTTTTGCTTTCATTCAATAATATTTGAAAAAAATATATAGAAATTATGGCGTTTGACTTTGTTGCAGTTTTTTTTTTATTTAACCCTGTATTGTAGGGTATAAAATATTGTAAACGATTTTATCACTATTGCAAGCTGGTAATACATTTGAAATATTTCTGATAGTTGATCTGGAATAGTAATTATTTAATTCTCTCAGCATATTAGATAAGATAAAATGGATTAGATTGCGTATATTAAAAAGTCGACGAACTTTTAAATGATGTTATGGTATAAAAATGTTATTTAATTTCCCTATTTCTTTGCTGAAGATTAAACGAAATATAACAGTTTTTGTTCATTCAAAATATTTTTTTTTTTAGAGAACCCGTTACTAGATTGTGTTTCGAAATTAACTTACTTTATTGCAATATAAATTTCAACGAAAACAAAATTTCTTATTAAAATGTTTAAATAATTCTCTAGATTTAGAATTACTGATCTAATATTATTATGCGGATTATCGCAGTGAAAAGAACGTCAAATGAGAAGCTCATCAAAGCTTTAATAATGTCTAGTGTTCATTAGCTATGAATATATCAATCGAAGTGAAATGTGCCCTTAAAGAATAATTTAAAAAAAATCTCAAAATACATGTAATTGTTTTATTTTTTATTTTAATCTTCATTTATTTATTTGTGTTATTTTTATTTTAAATACGTATAAATTTCTATAAACGGTAAATATTTCATCTATTTATTTTCTTTTGTCAATAATGGGGACTTTGTTGGGTATTTAGTTTTGGAAAAAAATGTATTTTCTTGCTTCGTTTTCTTCTTCTTCTTCTTCTTTGTATAGAATAAAATTTCTCAGCTTATAGAGAGTAGAGATTTCTTGGTTAATAACTGTTTTGTATTTTTCCATATTGTATTTGTTGTTTTTTTTTTTGTAATGCATTTCAAATGGTGGTTTCTAAGTTGCAATGATTTGAATAATTTATTTTATTAGACGTTTATATTCGGTTTCCTTCATTTATTTTTGTTTAAATGTCTTTATGTTTTGAATACAAGATTTGATGGCAGACGTTAACTGAATTGATTTTGTATTTTTTACGTCAAATCATAATTATAGAACTATTGTTAGTGAAAATGTGCATGATAATGGTAATTATAATTGTAAAAAGAAAAACTTTGCAAAACTATTGCTTAATTAAGCTACTATTGTTTAATCATTACAATTATTTCACAAACAAATATACAATAAACAGTGTTGAAATATTTATAATTTTTACTAATTTTTAAGGCAATATAAAAAGTTGATAAACAATCTATGTGTTGTGTTTAATTTCAAAATATAACAATTAAATATATGATAAAATCAACCGAAGTGTTGACAAAGGCTCTTTTCCGAAATTCAAAGTTTTGAGATTTTGTAAAAATTTTAAAAGAGTAGTTTTATTTTTAAAAGAGTATACAAAGTCGTTTCAAAAATATCGTAATGTATTCAAATCTTAAACGGGTGTCGTATGCATATTGACATAATTTTTCATAGGTTTAGACCATGCCACTCTCAGAGCTTCACTGGTTCATTGCAATTTGAGATGCAATTAAGGGACTCATCATAACTAGCTGGTATCGTTTATAATTAAAATAAGGCGAAATCCGATTGTTTGTGATCCTATTAAGGCATATTTTGTATGACATTCTTGTTCAAGTCGTTTCTAATAATAAATCATTGTGAAAATACTTTGGAATTAGGTCGTTCTTGTTCCTTATTTTTTCCTATCTCAATATACTTCAATATTTATGTGCTTCGTTCTCAAAGGCCTTGGTAAAAAAGACGATTTCAAATGGGCCAAACTTGCATCGGAGTTTTGACATGACATCACCATGTGATGTGAGCTCGTATTCGAGTTGAGAGTAAAACTCCCTTGAATTTTGCGAGTAGAAGAAGTAAACCAAATATATTCAATTTTGTTATTCTATTGCAATTTATATGCCATCAAGCAGATTCTGCTCCTGTCGAGTTCGCTTTTAATTATTGGCATTTTGTTATCCCACATCTGCAAACGAAAAAAAACTAATTCGAACATTTTGTTTCCCAGTTTAATTTTTCAAAGAGGAATACTCGCGATAGCTGCCACATAAAATAAAATTCCTGTGAAACTCATATCTAAGCATGATTGACTTGAACAACTAATTTTCAATAAAAAAGAAAGAAATTTATTTTTTTTCGACGTGAATTGTCAGGAGTGCTGGAAAACTTCCTCTAGAAGTGTAAGAAACTAATTTAATGATTTCCACCGTGACTGACGCTCGAACAAAGATGCCACGAAAAGTTGACTAGCCCCAGAACATTGATGTCGTGCGTTAACTGATAATGCCAGATCTTCATATGACAAACAGCGATATGAAGGCAACCTAGGGCATTTCATTCATCACTAGACGTTCGTTATTGGCGGAACACTTATCCCACATATTTGAAATTCTTACAATATCGGTAGCTACAGTTATATGGTGGCAGCATCAAAACGTAGATCGATATATCCAATTTTCAATGGATATATGGGAACCAAGTTTCGGCAAATGGAAAAATTCAGTTGAATGTGAAAAAATCCATACAATTTGGGTTGATGTTAAATATTTGTTGCACTATATCCAAATTTGAACCGATCTCGATAAAATTTGGCACAGGTGTTTCAGGGCTGTATCAGATATCGGTTACGAAATATAATAGTTGTAGAGTGCATGTTACGAAATGGAGGGGCCTAAAAAACCCAAATCCGATGAAACATATGTATAGGAGCTATAG